CCATCGCTCCGCTGCCCCTTGTCGCCCTGCCTTGTTTTACGATTATCTCAGCTGTAAACAAATGCATTCTTGCATACTCCCTACAAACATCCAGTAACACTTTTGATCTTCAATTACCTAGTATCTAATTGCACTACTGGAACGAGCCGAACTACTAAACTACGAACTAAACTACGAACTACGAACCGATTGCACTACTGGAACGAGTGCATATTGTAGGAAAGTTTATCGGTTTTCCGAAACATTTAATTCACTTTGGGTAATCACTGTTTTAGCGAAAAATTGAAAGGACGCACAATTAAATATTGCTCTCAGGGGTAGGAAAGGAGAATAGGAGTAAGTTTTGCGAAATCCCATAAAAACAGTTACTCACGTTTCTCTTGTTTTGGAGGTCATATGTGCAACATTTCATTAAGATCGGAATACAACAGTAGAAAAACAAACAAAACTTTCTACAAGAGCAAATAATAATTTGAAAAAAGTAGCAGAAGTTATGCCCAACAAAACACACTAGTATCTTTCAGTGCAAATGCATCGAAACCCAATGGCTGAGTCCCTGGTTCCAACCCAACTGGTTGTCGCGGACAACCAAACAATTGAAATGGTTTTTATATCATATAAATAAGATTATAAAATGTCAGTTATTTTGAACTCACAGGTATACACTCCAATATCGTTTACATAGATAGATACTTTTGTGGCCCAACGCTGTCCTGTTTGCCGCGAGTGTTTGCGCGGTTGTGTGACGCGTGGCGCTGTGCGCATGCGCAGGGTGGCGGCCAGCCCGCTGTGCCCGCCGTGCGAGGGCGGCAGCTGTGACGTGGACCCCGCCGACTGCCGCCATGGAGTCGTGCGCGACCACTGCGGCCGCCAGGTGTGCGCCAAGGTAAGCCCAGCCCGCGCGCGCGCGCCGCGCTCCTCGCCCCGCCCGCAAAGCGCGCGTTGCCCGAAGCAGTGTTTACGATTGAAGCACCTCGGTTCTTAGATTGGGGCAGATTGTTTAATGTGCTTATAGCACCACTAGTTATTACAGTGTCTACTTCAAATCGATACCGTTTCATAACATTGTTTTTTTAAGGTCGCGTCAACTTTTAGGTCATTAGCGACCACTATTTCATGTATAGTATCTGTGAGGATGGCACGATATGATGATAGGGGGTGAAAGGAGGAACACGATACAACCATGCCCGAGGCGGGAATCGAACCCGCGATCCTTCGGTCCCAGATCGCACCCTTTAGGACCGGGTCCCAGGTCACATCCGGACCGGCATATAACATTGTTGTTTCGTCAGCAATACCATAAAATAAAATTCGTTTCTCGATGTAAATACGTTTTCTAGAAACATGCGCAGCATTTCAATAGGAGGAAGGCAAACAAAAAACGAGGGAAATGTTTTTTCTTCTTCTGCCGAAACATGTACAGTTTTATTACAATTTAATAAACTATCAACATGTTTAGATAGCTGGAAGTTCGAAAGTCATACTTCAAAATTTACACATTTTTTCCAGATTTTTTAGTCAATTGCGTGATGGACACGGAGCGAATAAGTGATCTGCAAAATAGAATATTCTGAAGCAATAATATGATTTCATGACACAAATAATAACTAGAATAATAGTAATAACGACAACAATTTAGTGGGTATCAGATTATTTTGCTTAATTGATCTCGAGATTATGGCGGAAATATGCGTTTTGGGGCTATCTGGTCGCAGAAAAGTATTTTTTTGCAAAACGTCTTTGTACCCACCTGTAAACTACCCTAGTGCCTAAAGTATTCACTGGATTTTTTAACTGTATTTATAATAACTGTCAATTATTTTTACGTTTACAGAATATGAAAATAATAATTTTTATTTTTTATTTTAAGGTACTTTCTACAAAACTCATTGGACATTTTCAAAATTTTCTCAAAAGCCTCTTCAATATTTTTCTTTGAAATCTTTGGTGAAAGAGAGCAAGTGGGTGTATAAAAATGGAGAAAGGTAGATTTACATCAAAACCTCTAAATTTTTTAAATTACAAATGTTCACTTTTTTAATCACTCATTTTTTAAACATTGACGCTAGTTTTTTCTATATGCAATCGAGTTTTTGAAACTGAATCTTTAAACGAAGAAATGATTTTTAATATTAACTTTTTAGTAATTTTGAATAAAATGATGTCAATCTTCCACAAATACGTTATAGACTAACGTTTTTCGGAACTGCTACAATGTTTCCCTTAATTTTTTGTACGAAAAGATAAGAATGCACTGAATCACATTACACCAGTGCTATTTTGATTAAAATATTTTAAGTTTCCAAAAATTACACATCTATTTTTTCGAACCTATTGAGCGTCATCAGTAAAATTACAGATGAATGCATGCTTCAATGTGTTTTTGGACACAAAAGCTTTAAATGAAGTCTTGTGAAGTTTCTCGAAATTTAATAAGAGGTTTAAAGAGTAAATGAGCCAGATATGGTGATTTTTAAACACGCTGAAGTCATTAAACGTAATACAAAAGACTCTTAGCTATTTTGTAGAACCTCTAGTTATTCTATTAATTTTCGTTCAAAGTGTTCCTTAGATAGGCTATAATCTTCTGTAAAATGTCTTCCCCCAAAATGACATCATGATAAAGTCTGCTTCATGCTCCTGAGTGCCTGCACATATTTTCTTGAACTCCTAAATCCCTAGCTTCCTCTTCTGCTACAGTTTTAGGTATAAAAGACAGGAATAAAAATCATGTTTGTACTGCAATATTGTGATCTTTTCTTTAAAAAGCTCATAAACATCGCTTGTGTTTTAGATATTTGTTAATGGAATAATATGTAATAACAATTCATCACAAACTAATATTTTCACTAAGTTATTGTTCTGATAAATATAATTCCTTCCTTGCACTTTGAACCTGATTGAACAGAGAATGCCATCTGGTGGCGATATTTATGACCATAGATATGGGAATGCCATCTAGTGCCAACATCTACACTCATTAACCAAGAAGCATAAGTTCAAAGACAGCAAGGTTAAGGAACATTACTTACACTATGATGAATTTGTTTATTGTTTTCACGACAATCAAGATTCGTTTAAATCACTTCATTTTGTTTGCTTTACATATATGCACATTTTAAAAGTAGCACTTTAAAATTATAAAATTGAATAAAAAATTGTTTTGCGATACCATCACTTCCAAAGGTTGTCAAATTTACATAAAGCAATATTTAAGGGAACATTCTTTATCTCCATCTTCATGTCGGCTGTTTAATGATGCAGAAAGCATTTAGAAAATGAGATTTTACCAATAAAACGTCAACAGTCGTTGTAACCCTGAGTATTCATAAGGGTTTGAATGAACGGAATGAACTCAACGAAGGGTTTCGAAAAATAAGAGATCAGATAGTATAGTATGAAGTACAGTCTAATAACAGAAAGTTGACAATCACCATACCTGCTGCAGCATACAAAAAGTCTTGACATCCCCTGACAGGTAACCGATGTTGCCGCAATAACGATACCACTTTTTTGAGGTGCATTATTAAGGCTCAACGGGCTCAACCAGCGCTCAACTCGACCCTCCAATCACGGGTTGCTGGATTGATCATAGGATTGCCCGATCGGACGCACCTGAATTTAGTATTCTGTGCTACTTCCAGGACCGATGATGATGCATAGGACATGGTCGCACGAGTACATGCGGCTGTTGCCATCTCTTTTTCCTCGTCACCGAAACAATGGGGCGTGTACGATGGGGCGAATACAATGGGGCGAGTAAGGTATGCTCAGTTATGATGCCATAACATGTGGTTTGACAACTGTTTGCAACAGTAAATGTACCTACTAACGGCAGTAATAAGAAGGGTGGTTATGCCTTGGGTTTGATATTTCACGCGGCCTTCGAACTTTCGTCTCGCAACCCGTTTGTTCTCCATTCTATCTTGTAGTTCCTTGTAGCTTACCAACAGTTCATTATTATCTGATGCCGCTGTTTCTTGGGTCAGTCGTCATACGAGAAAACAACACTTCTAAAGTCATTTGGCGAAAAAAAAGAAAGCGGATATTGTCCTTTCGTGAACAACCCTCATGCGCGTTCGCTCGGTATGTCCCAAGATGTACAAGTGGCTGTTTTGTGTAACTCCAAAATCAACGCGTCGCAAGGTACAATATAGATTGCCATGTGTTCTCCGTCGTCCAAATTTTGTGGTACTGTACGTGGGCAGCTAAAATGATACAATGTATTTGTTTAGAAGGCTCCCCGTACAAATGGCACTGGTTCCGAAGATATTTAAATTAAACTAGTGGCGCGTTCTATTTTCTTGCATTATTTGTAACTTTTGCAATTTTCGAAATTTCAGATTTTCACGAAAACGAGACCAGCTCTATTTTTATAACTTATAAACACTTTTATAACATACAGATCTTTTTATAAAAATTGCTATAGGAACCATAAAAAATAAAGAAAAAACTTGGAACTGTTTTTGAGAAAGTATTGTTTTAAAAAATACATTTATTTCATACAAAATTGGGCGATAACTATTCATATTTTGAAAGTATCGTGTGTGAATATCTAATTTTGTAGAACATATTTCTTTAAGAAAACAATCCTTAACTTTGATATTGCAAGTGTAGGAAGACGTCGAAAAAAAATTGAACTTTTGTAATTTTCGTTTATAGAATGTGAATGAATATTTTTCTCGCGGTGAACTCTTTTACTCCATGAATGAAATATTATTAGTGAGTAAAGGCAAACCAATCTTGTAAAAAAAAAAAAAATGTCGCGATGTAAAATTATTGAAAAATACCAAAAAATATACGAGAACGTGTTGTATGCCTGTCTGTTTCAACAAATTTCACACCGATTTCGTGTGTTGCAGGGTCCCGGCCAACGGTGCGGTGGCAAGGGCGACCTGCTGGGACGGTGCGGCGAAGGCATGCACTGCAAATGCAACCGCTGCGCTGGCTGCTCCCTGGCCACGCTCGAGTGTGACCTCTCCGAGTTCCTCTGCCTGTCGTGAGCGGCTGGCGCCCGCCCTCCGCCCGCACCGCCCCCGCCACCGACTCCGACCCCGCGCGTCGCACCCCGGCGCCTGCGGCCTCGCGCTTGCCACCTGTAGCGCCATAGCGAAATAAAAGACAGCTTTCAACACTTTTGCGTTTCTCGTTTCTTTGCCTCGGGGAGTAGGGCCTGCTGGAAGGAAGGAAGAAGAAGCGGAAGGTTCGGAGGTCATTGAGATATTGGCCTCGTCAAAAACTGAAGATCAAATGAAAGCCAAACTAATAATTTTTTGAAAATACCATCAAATACAAAACTAAGTAAAAGCAGTGGCGTAACTTTTAGGCCCGCTTAGGGGCGGGCCCATGTAAAAGAGGGTCTATTTTTTTTATTATTTAAAGTACTAACACTAGTGTTTGCTATACAGTTTCATAATTGGAGGTCGGATAAAAGTTGCGGCCGGGCCCGTACCCATTTCGTTACGCTACTAAGTAAATTTGATATTAAACCGATCTATCGTTACTTTTACCAGTGTAATTACTTGACTAGAAACATTCATTTAGTGACCCAAAGTCTTAGCAATTAATTGTGTTTCTAAAATGTTCATTCTATAAAAATCGGGGCAAAAATAGGGATAACACAGAAGACACAGAATTTTAACTTAATGGAGATTAAAAGAACGACATTTCTATTAAAAAGAAATTTGTACCTGAATCTGTAAGGTAGGATTGGACCTGTAAGGTAGATTGTATATTTGTATCCTCCGGAAATCAATCACCACGTCTTATTTAGGCTTATTGTTTTTAAACAAAATTAAAGCACATTAAAACCTGCAGTATTAACACATTAGTAGGCTTACATGTACACATGCAGCTCATTAATTATGGTATGACTGTAAGATAATGAATATACAAAAAATAGCACATTGGATAATAGAGTTAAAATTCAATAAGTGAAGACATCTGTATTATTATGATGACTAGATACAAAATCATTTTTTGAAAGCGTGACATTTTGTGATGTCTTAAGTTTACTATAAATATATAGATGGGCATACTGTCATAAAACATTCTATAAAAAAAAGATAAAGCATGAGAAACCAATAATGATATTCACTCCTGAAAATGCTAGTAATCAATAATATTTCTCAAAATATCTAAAAATAAAGTAATCATTGTAAATTACCTTTTCTTAACCAAATTAGAAAATCAAATTTAGAAATAAAAAATATATTATCAATTCCTCATAGAGGATAAGTCCCAGATTATCTAAAATCAAGGTAGTTCAGAAATCTTCATTGACATTTTACCTATGCCAACTGAAGTCCCTTACCATCTGAAATCAAAGAAAAGTGTTTTAACTTGTAATGAACAAGCACAAATTACAATACACACACAATCAATAGATTCTTCACCTAATAGCATATCTTATATATATTTATTTACACAATTAATAATTTCTCCAATATGTTTTAAAGATAGTTGCCAATCCAAAATGACACCCAGATCTTTAACTATTGAAACAGACTCAAATATAGCGACATCAATAGTATAATCAAAACTAATTCATGAGGCCCTGTAAAATGTCGTAACTCTACATTCAGCTACATTTAATGATAGTTTATGATGTTCATGCGGTACATCTAAATTTCTCTGTAGAGTCTGATCTTCTACCTACCTTGTTGGGAGATGTAATTTCATGTCATCAGAAATTGTAATAGCATGATAAATCTCTATTATTGTCATTAACAAGTAACAGTTACCCCACATTGGGACCCTGTGCCTGATGGGAAAGAAAATAATGACTGATATTCTGCATATCTGTCAATACTCATATGAACCTTAAGATAAGGAAATAACAGACACAAATAGTTATGCAAAATATCAAGTAGTTTTCATTTCTGTAAAGTGATACCATGATTAAGCATATCAAAATATCTATTTCTCCTCTATTATACTCAGAAAGAAAAGTGGAATTTGTTATGTAAAAGTTAATAAATAAGTTATGGTAGATCTGTCTTTCAGAAAGGTTAAGTAGTGTTGAGAAGGCACTTAAGATTTAAAGGAACTATAAAAAAATCATTCAAATGATTTTCCAATATTTAAGAAGGTGGAAAAAAAAATGTAATATTGACTTTCACAAGGAGCTAATACTGTCTTTTGTTTAAAAATTAGGACTAGCACCACAACATCCTAACATAAACAGCAGGTGCAATCACAATCCCTGCAAATTCACTTCTGCCCCCACCCCTCACATATTTATTTCACCTCAAAATTAAGATCAATATTACTTGGATTCATGTCTTACCAATACAATAACTTTGGACTAATTATTCATCAACTTTGTTTTCAAATTTTGGGAATCTGTGGATTTTGTTCTTTCATTCTTTATTTTTTTTTACATCTTTTTCAGTATTATCAATTATATAGACAGATCTACCATAAGTTGTTTATCAACTTTTACATAATAAATTTCCACTTTTCTTTCTGAGTATAAGAAAAGAAGAAATAGATATTTTGATGTACTTGATCATGGTATCACTTTACAGAAAGTAAAGCTACTTGATATTTAGCAAAATTATTTGTGTCTGTTATTTCTGTTATATTTTTTTGTGCTTTTTCATTTACTCAAACAGTTCTATCTATTTCCTGATTTTTATACACAGAATTCATGTTTGATATTATTACGGGACTGATCTTGATGATCTAATACATTACCAAATATGATCAATAAAATGCTCTTAAAAATGTCCTAAAAGCAAAGAAAAATGACGTAAATAATGTTATCAAAGCCAGTTTCAACGAACAACTCAAATGGATTGACACTTGGATACGTTACTGATGTAATCGAGGCTTCATCGTTCAAATGAAATCAGCTGGCAACTTTTGGTTTGTACTGTTCTTTATCATGAAATTGGCTGAACCAACAATGCTGCTCATAAATGTTACAGGATTCTTAGATTACGTACTCCCAATGGCTGACATTACAATTTTTGAGCAAGGAAATTAAATAGGCTACTCAGGAATTCTGGAAAGAACATTTCTTGTATCTGGTAAATATTATTTGAAGCAAGTACTATTAAAATCATATTAAAATTGATTAAATCAGCAAAAATGCATTAAAAATGACTTATAATTCATAAATTGACAAAAAATACACAAAAATTACATATAAAATGGGTCATTCCCTTTTGTCATAACATAAAAATTAATTTCTGTACTAAATGGCACTGTTCTAAAGTGAAAAGAGAAAAGACATTTCATTAAAATCTGCCCCTTATATATTATTTACAATCTTTTAGTAAGTAGTAAGAAAGAAAAGGTTTTCAGTTGAATACTGTAGTAAGTGTCATCATTTAGAAAACATTTTCCAAAGAATAAAATATTTGTTCAATTTCTGATTCATTTTTGCTTCTCATGAAATCCTTCAGATTGAGAATTCTTGCATTGAGAACTAGTGAAATAATGTTGTTCTGAATAGGGTATGAATAATTATTAAAGATTTTTTGAAGTCAACCCCAATTGCCAATCATGAAGCCTAATCGTCAATATATTAGTGTTTCACTTTGAATAGTACTTAATAGAGCAAAACTTACTCCACTTGAAAAATGTACAATGTGGAAATCAGTCATTTGTAAACAAATGCACTCATGACAAACATATATTCCACAGTATTACATTGTATAATGTGGAACCTTGACAAATGCAGAAAAAATATTGGTCCCTTGAGATTCTACATTAAGCAAGTTTTACTGAATCATTGAGTTTTTAATATTAAATATATTTACAAATTTCCAAACATACATACCTATATTTACATAACAAATAAATATTTTCAGATATTTTCACAATCCTACATTTTGTTTTATATATTTGCATATTTATGCTGTTCAATTTTGGCAAGAAATTGTTTGGAAACTAATCAAAATCTCTAAATATGCATCTTCTTCTGCAGCATCTGCACTAAGTACTGCAGCATTGTAAATCTCACATTGCAATGCAACTAGATGAGTCTTTGTATATATACATGTAGTTTTTCAAAAAAGAGCACAGTGTGGATGCATTCCTAAGCATTCAACGTAACCTTTTCATAGGAATAAAATAGCAGAGAAAAGACATTACAGTCCAGAGAGGAAGAGGAAGTCAGTGGGCGAAAATAGTAGGTAGTTGAAAGGTTGACAAATGACATAGCTGGTTTCCACTTTGGAATCCTTCACTGGATTCACGTACACACAACACCATCTGAGACAAAGATGAAGATGCTGCTGTCCTTCCTCTTCCTTAGGTATGGTATGAACTGGATTGATAAAGAACACTAAACACAATTTAGATGCTCTAGATCATATAGAGATGCTGAAGCAGCAGCATATACAAGTATAGCAAAGCAAATATTTAATGAAGGTAAATTGAAAAAGAGACATCCTACATTTATTGCAATTTTTGCATTTGAACACTGACATTAAATCTTGAGAGACAATGTCCTTAAGACTATTAGGGAGAGTGAAGACTATTTAATTAGCAACCAGCAATAAGGATCAATTTCCCTTTCTGAAAGTTTTGAACACATATTTGTTCTTATTGTTATGAAAACATTTTGAAAATTCAATAGGAATATGGTTCCCTTTAAAAAATCCCATGCAAAGCCCCAAAGCAAATTTAAAACAATGTTTCCCATATTCCTATTGAATTTTCAAAATAATTCTTCAAAATAACTCTAATGTAGGAACTTATATTTACAACTATGTTCTTATTAAATGAATAAAGCACTTCAAAAAAAGATTCAATATTAATAACAGTAGAAAATAGAGCAATTCTATTCTGCAAACACAATACTTTAAAAATCACTATTCTGAGGGTTCGAAAGAAAAATGATTCAAAATTTATGAGCAAACTTAGAGTATTTTACAAGTGAAAATAAATGCACAAATTGGAGGCAAAATTAAGAGAAAGATAATATATAATTTTCTAAACTCCTTTTCTCTAGGGTAATGCACAATGTAATTTATACTTAAAATAGGAGGTCGATATGGCTCTCTATTTATTCTGAGTTGTGATATTTTTAGATGATTTGGAAGGTCATCACTGAACTAAGTGGCTGAGATTTCAACATGTTCCAAAACAATAGGTGGTTGTGATCTATAAATGTAGAGCTGAAAAGCTAATCAAGATTTTCTGGAATTCTCTCAAATTCTTTTAATCTGTATCTTATTCCTCTAACCTACTCGATGTATTCTTCAAATCTCTGAACGTGGTTCCGGCATAAAATTTCCGTCTTAAGAATCCCAAAGTTTGGTCAGACGGAAGAGCGGGCCTGATGGCCCGAGTCTCGCCACGTAAAATAAGGCAAAATCAATTCAATTCAAAGTTTAGACAACATTTCCTACAGCCATTGGTATTCAGTTTTTCTTAATGTTTAACTAAGACATGTGGATATGTTACTATTAATTAGAAAATTTGAATTGAAATTTATTATCTAAGAAGAATAATAAATCACCATTTTCGCAGAGTAGTGTTATACTATTATCCAACTCGTTTGAAATCAATCAACAAGATCTATTATATATTGTGTGTTCATCTGATCTGCTGAGTAAATTGGAGAGTATGTACTCTAGAGTAAAATAACCCTCTAGAAGGATGGTGAAATGCTCATATTCTTCTCGAGAGTTACTATCTTAGAGTAAATGGTTACTCTTGGGTAACTACTCTCAACTTTCCTCAGCTGTTGGTGAAACCCGCCCCTAGTCTTATTAAAGATTACGGTTAATGAAGTATTTAAATAATGGATTCATAAATAAGGGAAATTTGCTTTATTGCCGAATATAAATGTAAAAATAGTTGAAATTGATAACAGGTTGTTTTAAATTTTATTCCTTAAAAATCTTGTGAAACATAAATTTTGTATTGACGTTTCATATTGATGTATTAATTCCAATCAATCTGAAAGTTTGTAACTGGTTACAAGGTACACAAAACTTACATATTTGACTATCTACCAAAATTGACCAAGCAATGAATTAAGATGGAACAATATGTTAACCAAAATACGATAAACCTAAGTATTACACCCTTATCTGTACCCTCTATTAATTAATAGCGAAGTATTAACTATTGTTAAATTAATATACCAGTTTTGATTTGCTAATGACCTCAGATGTTGATGCAACTATATATAAATGAAAAAAATAAAATGTTCTTAAAAGTCAGTTTTGATTCTAGATATTCAAAAAAATACTTCATATAGCTCCCATATTTCAACTCTTTTCTAACTGTGAGCAAATCTCACTTTATTTTAAATGTTATTAAAAACAATTGAATTTTACTGGTTACCTGCTCTTTTACAGAATTGCAAACCATCAACATCTCTCCCTCATTTACGTTCTTCAGAATAAAATTTCCATGTTTGGGAAAATTTGATTTCTCACATTTGATCTGTACCTGATAAATGAAACACATTCAGTGCTCTGAATCATAGGTGTGCACACAGGGGCAGGAGGCTGAAAAATTTGAAAGGAGCCCCATAGTATTACATATTAAAACATTATATTTCCATAAATACATTCAATCTCTGTTTTTATCCCTTTAATTGATCTGATAATTTGGGAAAGAGGCTCTTCAAGGTGGCTGGCAACACAGTGTGGGATGGCTCAGCACAAAAATGAAAATATTTATTAATAGCATCATTAAAGTTATAATTTCATTCTCCTTGTAACATGCATAATTCATTTACCTGTAAAATATTTAATAGTGAAAAATTAAAAAGTTAAATGGAGAAAGGGGCTCAGAAATGGTGTTGGCTGTTGCTCTTCTTTTAGGCCATGCAAACCTCAGCTCTGAATACTTCCTTATGAATTGAAAACATGTTGAACTAAATAGCTTTGTTGTTACATTATAATGCATTTGCTTCAAAGATCTTGAATTCAGGCTCTTCGTGAAAAATTACAATAACTGAGACTTGAAGAAGAAATACAGATGTAATTGGCTAAATTAGATGTAATAGATTTTGTCACAGTAAAAGGGTGGTTATGCCAGTAACTGACACCTTATGAAAGGTGCTATAACAAATTAGGAGTTACAGGAACTTAGAAGATGAAAATTCAAAAAGCAGGAAAAGTTCTTGTTAGAGCCCTGCATAAATTCCATAACGCAAATTTGGAGTATTTCAAATATTCCATCTCCAACCTGTAACACACGCATGCCCCCACCTCTAAATAATTAGATATCCCCCCTTGCAAATGCAATAAGTGAAAATAAATTTTAGCAGTATAAAAACAATTTGTTATCACTTTATTTGTGTTGTACATTAAAATTCACAGGAATTAAAGTTGTAATTAGTCAGCAATACAGACTGCACTCAACAATAAGATTGAGGCTAAGCAGTGAGTGAAGAAAGGAAATATTTTATCACAAGCAGTGCACATACCGACATGGGTGATGCATGTGCAAGTCAACTGCGCTAATTTAAATGGATTCTTGAATACACTACATACCAGTTTTGAATATTTTCTTTGTAATCTTTTAGATTCAATTAAAAAAATATTTTCATTTATTGCTTAATTAACAATTTACATCTAATAACTTTAATATATTTATGTCTTTAAAACAAATTAATTAGTCAATATTTTAATGTTTTAGTTCAAGTCTAAATGAGGAATTATTTCAGCAAATGTTGAGAACTCTAAAATAAGTAAATATCAACGTTGTATAACAACAAATTAATATCTCCAACCCCTGTGTTGTGCTGCGGCAAACCCCCTCTTTGGCGTTATGTAATTTATGGACGTCCCCTTTGACAGAGTAATTTCAATCATGACAAAAATACTAACAGAAATTCTAATAATACAAAAGTCTACCTTCACTGAATGGTCAAAATATAATTATCCAAATAAAAGGCATATGTGAGAGTCTTAAAAATTATTCAATATGTACTTGTCTTTGTAATATTGCATCGCGATAGTGTAAATTTGGCAATCCTTCAACTTCCAATAATTTATTTATTTTCTCATGTTCTCTGGTGATTCATGATGGGTAGTTACTACCTAGGTTGTAACGCTAGTCGCAGGTTTCAATTCTTAGTTTTAGGTGGCTCGCTTAACCCAAGGGTTGAAATTTTAAGGTCAGGATGTCTGGAAATTTGATATTTCTCAATACATCCTGTCAAATGTACATGGAACCTATGTATCTGCTTTACAATACAACGCTTTCCTATTCATTGAAGAGTAGTCTTACTGTAGTAATTCTTAATATATTTATCTAAGAACAGGATTCAAAACAGAGCAAATTATTAATAATTTTGATCCACGACATTTCGAGGACAGCCATTTTTCCAATCTTCAGGCTACAATGAATAAAATCATATTAAGAGCACATTGAGGTTTTTGAAGAATGTAATAAATAACAAGTTACTGACATTAATATATAAACAATACAATTATTATAAAACACTAGCACTTGATATAAATTTGCATATGAAGACTCATTTAGGAAAACAAAAGATAATTATACTTTAAACTAAATATAGAAATATTTACAAAAGCCAGTGCAAAAGCATGTCCACCCAACACCACCTATCATACATGTGTATCTTGGTGGTGTTGGTCCAGCATGAAAGTCACAGAGGATTCAAATGAGATGACAATTCAATCTAATATTTATGAATTTTTCGTTTTTGTATTCACTTTTCCTTATTTTCATAATGAAAATTATTTAAATTTCCTTTTATTAAAGATAAACTTAAGAAATTTATTATTTTCTAACACCAGTGTATATTTGGATTTTTTTTTCTGCAAGTATAAATCTGTTTTAAAGTGGATTAAGTTTGGGAACTTAAAAAAAATCTAGCTATGAATAATAAATGATTGTTGAAAACATCATACAGTTTAATAAGTGTGAATCTCACCATGTTTGAACAGACTACCTTGACTTTTTAATAGGGAAATTTTCTTACCAACAATAAAGATGTTCGTTTTCATAATATGATACTCAATTTTATATTCACTGAACCAAAAATGTAAAAATACTTCTGAGAGTCCAACTTGCACAGAACTAAATACATTGTAAAGACATTAGCCAGTATTTAGAATAACACTCGATAACTTTCGTTCTGAATATCCACTTGTATAGACCAACACTATAATAATAAAAATATGTTAACATAACTATCAGAAAGGCATGAAATATTAATTAAATTCTTCCTAAAGCACTCCAATCTTTGGGAAATTTTCATTATTATTCTTTTTAGCATCTGGAACTTATCAAATGGGTTAAAATAGGGTACACGGTATACCCTCAGAGAAGTGTGGAGGCAGGGAGGGGGGTGTCTCCTTAAGCCCTCCCTCAAATTATGCTATGCGCTCGGATAGAAAATAATAAATCTTACGGATAGATGATTTTTATGGCTTTCCCTTTATATGCTTTGTCCCTGTGCATTGTAATGCCAATTTACTTTAAACAGCAAGTTTTCTCGCTTCGCCTGCCCGGATCCAAGTCACGGTGAGGCTTGGGCCTTTGGCCTCGATATGTCAATAATGAAAATTAACACTGAAATTCAGATTTTACATAAACTTAAATAAAAATAATTTAAGCACATAAATAAAATTGGTTAATTTAATCTGTTGAATTGGTTCAAATTATAAGCAACAGATTAAAAGGCTTTAAGGAGTTTTTACTTACCTAGCTAGCAAGTTTGACAATCTGAACTTTTAAGAAATATAATTGAGAACTTCACCACTTAAAAAAATGGATTCAATACCAGTATGTTAGATTCTATTTTGTATCTTGTAATATATAAATAAAAGTTTATTACTGTTATTTAGTGAAGCAAAGTAACAATTTCTTATTGACATGCACCATACATTTTTAATACGAATAAAACAGACAACACCACATCACACAAATCCTAAAATATTTCATGTCTTAAAAGCAAAGGAATTTATATATTGAATATATAGAGAGAAATACAAGCTTTTGAAATATTTTATTTCTCTTGCACTTTAAATTCACAGACCAAAATTTATTAATGCACATACAAACAGTGATTTTCTGATATTTTACTAGTTCATGTCAAACAATTCAACTTAATAAAATGCACTGAATGATATACAGAAACAGATTATTACAAAATGAATTCACAGATACAGTCCTTCTGGAGTACCTTCTTTCTTGCGATACAGCACACTCTCCTTCGACTTCCGGAAATCTTCATTAGTAACTTTCATCCTCCTTTCACGCAAAGCCATCAAACCAGCTTCTGTACAAATAGCCTTAATATCTGCACCTGAAAGATCATCTTTAGACATAATAAGTTCGGTGAGATTAACATCTTCTGCTAATGTCATTCTTGACGTATGAATATTAAAAATTCTTCTTTTTGTTTTTTCATCAGGCAATGGGAATTCAATTTTTCGATCAATTCGACCTGGGCGAATCAGGGCAGGATCCAAAGTTTCAATACGATTTGTGGCCATAACCACCTTAACATCTCCTCTAGAATCAAATCCATCTAGCTGATTAAGCAATTCCAACATTGTTCTTTGAATTTCACGTTCTCCTCCTGAATTGGAATCATAACGTTTTGTTCCAACAGCATCAATTTCATCTATAAATACAATTGATGGAGCATGTTCTTCAGCAACTCTGAATAACTCTCTAACTAATTTAGGGCCATCACCCAAATACTTCTGAATGAGTTCAGATCCAACAACTCTTAAAAATGTGGCAGAAGTTTGATTAGCAACCGCTTTAGCCAGTAGTGTTTTACCAGTTCCTGGAGGACCATAAAGTATAACACCTTTGGGAGGTTTTATCCCCATTTCTTCATAGTATTCAGGATGAGTAAGAGGCAACTCTACAGATTCTTTAATTTCTTGAATCTGTGTATCCAGACCACCTATATCAGCATACGTTTCTTGGGGAGCTTTTTCCAATTTCATCACTGTAACCATTGGATCAGTATCATCAGATAATACTCCTACCACGGCATGAACTTTATGGTTGAGTAACACTGAACAACCAGGCTCCAACTGATCTTTATCAACGAAAGACAAAATGCTGACATAATGTTCACTTCCGACTGATGTTGAAACAATAGCATGATTGTCATCGATTATTTCTTCCAAAGTTCCTACAGACATTGGAGTCCCTCGGAGATCATCAACTTTGGACCTTTCCTCTTCAATTTTCTCTTCTTGGGGCTTCAAGCGTTCTTGATTTCTGATAAATTCTTCCTCCATTAACAGGTAATCTTTTATTCTTTCTAATTTCAATAGCTTCAAACGGCATCTTGTGTGCGGAGTCACTTGAGGCAATTTCATAGCTGCATCAGGACCTTTTGTTTTTCGTTTCTTCTTTCCAACTCTTGTAGGAATTGGAGGTTCATACTTCTTCTTCTTGTCTTTATCATCCTTCTTGTCGCCACCACTTCCACCGCCTGCAGATTGATTTTGACCCATCTCACTCCTTGGAATACAGTTTCCAAGGTAGCCTGATAGGAAATATTAACTACGAATCACAATCACTTCAATTATTGAAAGAGAACAACATTCACATCGACACCATACACTGACCTGAGATGACAATGCAGCTTAGCTAGGAACAAATGCTGTCCTTCGTTATTCCATGGAAAATAGGTGGACATTCCAAGGAGCGTGAACGTTCCACACCACAGAGATTCTATATTACAAAACACGATGAAAAGAAAATGTCATACCAAACAATTGAAAATCGGTAGATGCGTCTAAAGCATAGAGGTACTCTAGGAAAATTAAATAAATATATCACGATATTAACTTTTCTTTAGAGTTATGACTAAGAGCGTAAGGACTTCACAGAATAAAGTGCACATTTGTACCGTATTCTCAGTCGAATTAAGGCGCGAAATTCAATTTGAATGACATATCGCATTTTTTCTATTATTTTTAGTAATTAATCTATTTTTACATTTAAAAAAAGTAAAAATGTGATTTCAATGCCTTAATGTCATGTTAAGTATTACACAACTATTCCGAAAGCATTGAAAAATTATGGAGATTTTAAGACTAACCCCTAATCATGGAATATTTTGTGCACTACTGTACCCTATAGGTGAATTGTAATGATAAACATACCAAGATAACAGACTTTTTCATTAGTAATTTTTTTAAACTGCATATTGAATTCTTTTCTGGTAATATCTTTTCTCGTAAAATGGTAGTGTAAAAATATTGAGTTTTTACTTTGCTCATAATATTCAATTTCAGTTATGCATTTTTCTCACTTATACATTTTTTCCCTTCAGTCTTCAGAAAAACATAAGTGAAGTTTTACTGTATGCACCTGCATTGTACTGTATGCAATTGATTGGTATAATCAAGATCCTATTATTTACAAAAGATATAAATGAAGTTGAATATTATTTTCTTATATATCGTTTCAAAATGTTTAATAATACTTGTTTATATTTCTAAAAATGGAAAATTTCTATTGTTCATATCTAATAAGCAATATTTTCAGAGCTTTTGTTCATATTCTTTGCCTAATTGCTTTCAGTTCATTTATGTGTAATTATGTGTTTTGATTATTTTATATTCCATAATTATAGAAAAAAATCAAGATCAATGAAGCAAATAATTAGAGTAAAAGGGATTGTTGCAAGAAAAAGGTTGAGAATCTCCGATCTAAACATTTAACACAACCAGTGACACTCCAGCAAGTAATTCAGAGAGAGAATTTCAGTCCAAATCTTTTATAACTAATTTTTTTTTTCATTTATTCATATCATATAAAAGAAAACAATGCATAGAAGTGTATTCATAATAAGAATTCAGCTTTGGATGAGAGCTTTGTATGGTAATTATTTTGAATAAATTGAGTAAAACTACAAAACAATTTGAGTTTTGAGGAAGAGGGCAGAGGTCCATGACTTTCAGTTCTGCCTCTGGACATGTTTAAAGCCACAAGTTAACGTTACAATGATGCTATTTTAAAGAACACTGACAAAAGTTCCTAGATAATAGTTAACGACTACATTAAATGAATCTAATCAATTACAAATCCATGAAGTAATTTATTAATAATGAAGGAAATCAAACCCAGGTTTCCTGGTTTACCTCGGTTTCTCTGACTAGAGAGCTACTGAGATGACATCTGCTTTAAAATATCTTATAGACAATTAAGTTACGAAGAACACTATTGGTTTTTCAACGAGACCATCCATGGTTTCTCAGAAAAGATATAAGGTGATATAGTGCTATTCAAGTACTTCTCAAATATCAATGCCTTGTTGTTAAATTTCTACTAAGCTTTGCGGATTGCTTAAAAAGTAATACGTCAATACATTGAGAATACACATTGAATTAATAGAAAAGTAAGAAATATAGAATTAATATTGGTCTTTTCAATAGGAAATTATGATTAACATTAAATTAATTATTTTTCATAGCATTTATTCACTTTTCCTCATAGCCCATAGTTGGTGTGAAACCTGTATATAATTTTATTACTTTCAGGAAGAAATTACGCAACAACTACTTGTTTTTTCAAAATATTGTACATGATGTTTTTTAAAGAGCTAATTTTGTACCACAGACTTTGTCTGAGGCAAAATCTTTAATTTTGTAGTTTTATGATTTCTTTAAAAAAATTTATAAAAGCAGAGCATTACCCCAAAATGGGACTAGCACCATATTTTTTACCATCTCTAATTACATAAGTGCAGAAAATCTAAAAATAAAAATTTGGGGTGGTATTGAGAAAAAAAATTCATACATTTTAATTGCAAATCGAGCAAAAACTACTTGTTTTTCAAAATAAATTCTACATACAATTTTTTAAAGGGCAAATTTTGAACAACAGACCACTTTGAGACAAAATTATCTATCCCTAATTTTGAAGTTTTAATGTCCCTCCCTCCCAATTTTCGAAAAATTGGGGATGTCATTGAAAGTGAGACAAGCAGCATTCTCTTTCTACTATTCAACAAAAAAATTTAATGAAAAAATTTGTAGACTTTTTTTTTTGAAAATTTCCCTGGGGCTTCATGTAAAGTACCCCCCACCCTAAAAATAATATTGTTGGATTCAAATCTCAGGGGCCACGACATCAGCTAGAACAATTGGGGAATATCAATTTCGGAGAAACTCAGCTGAACGGTTTAAGCACTAGTGTTGAGCACAGACAGAAAGACAGATAGCAACATATTGCAAATCATTGTTTTTCTAATGAATTTGGCATTAAAATTTCGATTTGGTGCAGAGGGAGAAAGAAATACATAGAATTGTCATTATTGGACAGAGTGAAAAGAATTCACTTACAAAGACTGTTCTACAGGGTTTCAAGTGTTCCATTACAGGATGTGTTGAAACATTTTTTAAACTGAAAATATTGAAAACCTGAAAATGCAAGATACGAAATAAAACACGAATATTGTAACTGTATCTACATTTAATGACAAAAATATATAACATACAAAAAATATTGCAGATATTTGCTGCATTAGAGATATGAAATACTAAGTTTAATGATTTTTGTCCACCATCGCTTTCTGGAGAAGGGAGCTTATCATCTCCCCACAAAAGAAAGAGGATAGTGGGTTCAACAAATATTTCAACTAAAAATAATATGTACAGACTTCATCACAAACAACACACAAGCACAGGATCATGGAAAAGATCAATTACCAAAATTAGGCAAATTCTCCCCTCAAACTTTGTTTCATTAACATTACCTCAGAGATAATGTTTAAGGCTTTTCAAACATATGATCATTACAACAATAATAAGACTGAGACAAAATCAAAAGCACCACTAAGTTTAACATTTGTTCCAAGATAATTTTTTTAATTACTTTCAATAGATAAAATAAGTATTCGTTATAGAAAAAAGTACTAAGATGCACAGTGGGTATTGCTGTGTAGCAACATACACAAGGCAGATAATTACACACTTTTGAAGTAAAACAATAATAGTTTTTATATATTTTCAACAGAATAATACTCATTTACTGTAAACAGTGTGGATATTAACACATTAAATGTACTAATTGCACAACCCCATTTAGGCTTCCCCACAGAGCATACAATTTCGGAAAACGAAAAACAACGGTGTCGCACCGTGCGAGAGTCAGTCGCGGGGAGGGGCGGGGCGGCGCGACGCGGCGTTCAGAACCTCTGCAGAATGACGGTCTGCGCGTGCTCCATGCCCGGGACGGCGATCTCGGGGAAGGCGGTGAGCAGGGCGTCGGGGGCGGTGATGACGACCGTCTGCGTGGGCAGGTCGGCGTCCGCGTCGGGGTCGTGGTCGGCCGGGTCGGCCTCGGCCGCCTCGGGCAGGTGGTGCTGCTGCTGCTGCTGCTGCTGGTCGGGCGCGGCGGCGCCGGGCGCGGGCGCCGGGGCCGCGTCCTCCAGCTGGTGCTTGGCCGCGCGGTGCTTGACGAGGTCGCGCTTGTGCGAGAAGAGGCTCGGGCACACGTCGCACCGGTGCGGCTTCTCGTTGGTGTGCGTGCGCCGGTGCTTCAGCATGTCGTTCTTCTGCGTGAAGGCGCGCCCGCACAGGTCGCACGCGTACGGCCGCTCGCCCGTGTGCGTGCGCATGTGCACGTCGAGCGCGCCCTTACGCTGGAAGCGCTTGCCGCACGTCAGGCACGGGTGCGGGCGCGCGTCCGAGTGCACGCGCGCGTGCTGCGCCAGGTTGCTGGAGCAGCGGAACGCCATGCCGCACACCAGGCACTCGTACGGCTTCTCGCCCGTGTGGATGCGCTCGTGCACCAGGCGCGCCTCCTTGGAGAGGAAGCCGTCGCCGCAGAAGCGGCACGAGTACGGCCGCTCGCCCGTGTGGAAGGAGCGCATGTGGTAGGTGAGCGAGCCCTTGTTGGAGAGGCGCTTGCCGCACTCGGGGCACGGGTACAGCTTCTCGCCCGTGTGCGAACGCATGTGGATGGACAGCGACTCCTTCTTGGCCAGCAGCTTCCCGCACACCGTGCACTTGAAGGCCGCCTCGTCGGGGTCCTCGCCCGCCAGCTGCTGCTGCTGGTGCTGCTGCTGCATGCTGCGCTGCACCTCCACCTCCGAGTGCTTCTTGCGGTGGTTCAGCACGGCGCCCAGCGTGGGGAACGCCTCGTTGCACACGCGGCACGTGTACTTCCTCTCCTGGCTGTGCCTCTTCACGTGCTGCGTCATGTTGCCCCTGCGGTTGAAGCGGACGCCGCATATGGGGCACTTGTAAGGCTGCGTGCCGGAATGGGCGGATCCGTGTTGCCGGAGCTGAATCTTCTTGTGGAATCGCTTCCCACACACTTCGCACGTGTATGGGCGGTTGCCGTCGTGAACGTTCATGTGCTCTGACAGATGAAATCGAGATCTGAAACCTTTCCCGCATTTTAGACATATTTGTCTGTTTTTATCGCTTTCGTCCAAGTGAGATCGCTTATGGCTTCGAAGATTGCTAACATGTTTAAATGTTTTACCACACAAATCGCACAAGTACGGAGTTTCGGAGGAATGTGTAGCTTTGTGAATATCTAAACTTGAAAGAGAACCGTAATTTTTATCACACTTATCACATTTATAGGGTCTATCATCGCTGTGAAGAGCGATGTGATGTTCTTTCAAGGTCTTCCTAGTACGAAAAGACCTACCACAATATTCGCAAACAAAAGCGGCTGTTGTAGGATTCTTTTCTGGGAAAATGTGAGAACGTTCATGACCCTTTTTCAGAGTTGAATGATTCTTTTCTGGAAAAATGTGAGAACGTTCGTGAATCTTTTTCAGATTCTCATTACCAAACGCTTTATCGCAATATCCACAGGTAAACTGGACTCCTGCCACAGTATGTTTTTTAGCAATATGTACAAGTAAATTTTTTTTCCTAAATGTAGAAAATCGACAAATATCACAAAAGAACTTATTAATATTAACTTGAGCTTCATCTCCCTCATCATGTTCATCCCCTCCTTCACCTTCTGCTCCTTGTTCTTCCTCCTCCTCTTCTTCTTCTTCTTCTTCCTTACATTCTTCTTCTCCTTCTTCAATTTTTATTGTTACTTCCATTTCTTCTGGCACTTTATCTCCAAGTACTTTAATAGATGACTTTACATCATTAAGTGAATCTTCCAAGTGAAGACTCGCTGACTTGGCACTGCCATTATCACACTGTTCAGACTGTAACTGGGTATGAATCACTATTCTGCTACACGATTTACTGTAGACTTCTTTCAGGGAACTAATAGATTCCTGTGATTCATTTGGAGTGCATTCCAAACTGTACTGGTTGTTTGTGGTAATATTATTTACACTAAGAGCATCCACCCTGTAAAAAAGGAAGATGTAAGTACAGAAAAACACAAAATGTGTGTCAATGAATTTACATGAAATAGGAAAGTTGCTAAAAGCTCATAAATTCCAATTTACAATAAAAACCTTAATAAATCCATGGTACAAAGGTAGAAACTGATATGTCAAAATTTGTATGTATATCCATGCTACCTGCATGAATCTCAATCATCTTTGGAACAGCACTAACAGAGTATAATGTTGATGTGTGCAAAGTGACAACTCAAAAGAATCTAAAACAGATTTTACAACTGAAAATTCAAGATAGTATTGTGGAGATGATCACAATACTTTTCCTCTTTGTCCCATTGTATAAAGATGGGAAGTAAAAATAGTATAGAAATATTATTATTCATGATTTTCAAGGGTGAAATCCAGGATAGAATCATTATCTTAGTATGAATCACATACATATTTTCTTCCAAAGTCATACAATTTCCGAGCTATACAAAACCCTCTTGTTGGAGGATGTCATTTTGAAAGCAGAGTAAAATGTTTAGATTTGCATATCGATAAGTCAACCTACACGTTGATCATTATAATGGATAAATGTATGAAAATAAAGCTTGTTTTATTGCCTAGAAGGCTGTTAAAATAGATTAAAAATATATAAATTCGGCAGAGCCTGCACCGAGAGTACTATGCACATAGTACCACAAGTGCAGACTGAAACCATCTGTGTGCAGAGAGTCGAAGGGTTAATGGATTTCCTACGTTACTATAAATACAATCTTCATTTTTGGTGAACTTTGGACAGAGTCTGCTAAAAAAAATTTTTTTTCTCATACCAAGTTCTGCCTTGGAGCCAAAGAAATATAACACAAAAACAACACAAATCACAAAATATAACAGGACCAAGGTTCCAAGATTACTTAGCAATTTATTCTAAAAAAAATTAACTAAATGTTTTACACTTAATTTATAAATTTGCAGTCTTTGGTTTCATTTAATTTACAGGTAAATATGCTCTAAAATAAATTAAAGATAATATGTATAATAAATAAATCCAAGAAATGCAAGATTTAAAGAGCAATAATAAAAGAAATTGAAAGCATTCGGTTATCCTGTAAAAAATTTACAATGAATTATTAATCAGGTTTAATAGTACACTTTCAGTGAAATATTTTATATTATGAGTGGGCATTTCTATTCAGTTAAGTTTTTGAGACAGGCTGTCAAAAACTTTAACACTATTTATCCACAGATAAAGTTCTATATCAACTGTGCAAACTATCACAAGTATGTATGTTGTGAAAATATTAGAGACATTGCTTATCTCCTTCTACACTGAAATTTACAAGTGGTTCTGAATGAAATGTAATCCTATTTCTAGTACCTAAACAGTCACACTGAAATTCAGCTGTTAAAAAAATTGATATTCAGGCATCATTTGTCATTTTATCTGTGTGTGTATTACTGCTGTAATGCAGGAATGTGTTAGAATGATGAATGGTTTAAATATGATTGCAATTCTATCTCATCTTTACAAATTAAGTTTAAGAAGGGTTGTAACATTTTATATAATTAACAGAAAAAAACAAAAACATTTCCATTACAGTTCTTATCCTTTACAGTTACTTACTTTCAATCACAGTTCTTTTCTCTACAGGCAAAAGTTAAAACATTTCTCCATGAATAACTGCTTAATCTAATACTTCAGTTAGAGATTTACACCTATTAGCGACTGTTACAGAAGTTTCAGTATGTGATGAAATGTATGCAAATAAAACTGAACTAAAATATCTCCAGAGACTGCATAAGAAAGAACAAATAAAACCACAAAACTAGAAACTTTTCTTTTAAGATAAAGAAGAGTGAAGAGTTGCACAACTCCCTTGTAAATGATTAGGTTAGTGTTGTCTTCTAGAGAACTGTGCAGAGTATTTTAACAAAAAAGAAGTTGATTGGCAATCACCCTGTCATGAAATGATCATCCATGATGTGTCTGGTATGAGATCAAGCAATCAACCACATAAGCATTTGTCTACTAAAGACTACCATTATGTAAGAACACACTCCTAAACTGTAAAATTAAAATAAATAAATTTTACATTATTGAATTTTACATAAATAATTTTTTCTTTACACGAAAAGACTACAGAAATAAATTATTTATCAGGGACAGGATTTGAACTCAAGTCCTTAGGTTTCAAAGTGAATATCTTCTTTCTAAGCTACAGTCTCATATTTTAGATGCTAAAATTAATTCTTAATGTTGTGGTTATTCTAACACCTAAAATGCAAAATTGTTATAATATACTATCTCAAAATTATGCAACTACTAATATTTTAAAAATAGTAACATAAATTACTTTAAAAGATTTAATAATGAGGAATAGATTGTTTTAGGGACAAAATGGCATATTTAATTTGTTGTTTGAGGGTGTTGAAAAAATGGTTAACTTTTCCAATTGGCAAAAACCCACAGGTTTTAATGAAAATCAGACCCTTGTCATATTACTAAGGAAATTTTGCTCTATTCAAGCAAAAATTTTAAAGGTCAGTCACATTGATCACAAACTATTGTGGAAAAAATCCTGTGTATTCTTTAGCCACAATGTACAGACACACGTTTCAAAAAAGAAAAACAGAGAAAAGAAAAAAAGAGAAAAAAAAGAGAAACTAGCTAAGTGGTTCAGTATGTAGCGCACTGACTTTGCTGTCAGGAGGCCCGCGTTTGAACCTGACTGGGGTTTTCGTGGTTTCCCTTGGTCATACAGACATGCTGGGATGGTTCAAAAAGCCCACTTTCATCTCTCATCTCATAATTCAAGACTTAAGAACCTTGTCTTACCAATGGATATAGCCGAAAAGCTGATCCCTATAATAACACACGTTTATCTATCTCCAGGATAGAATATGACTAGGATCGGAAGAGTAGTGTGGTCAGAAATGGCTAATATGCAAATAATAATAATAATAATAATAATAATAATAGTTACAATTACAATGAAGAGACACTATGGCAGAGACATGGATCTGGAAACAAAACTAACTCCACAATATAGCTGCTAAACCTAGAATTGTGCATGGCTCTGAAACATGGGTAAAGAAAGAGTGACAACAAAACTATAGGTGACACACATGAGATTTAAGGCAACTTATGGAAATCGCAAGAAGAGAGATTGAGAAGTTAAGTCATCAGAAAGAAATTGAAAACCAAAGGTTTAATTGAAAAGATAAAAGTCTCAAAGGAGATGGAAAGATCATTTACAGAGAATGAACAACAGATTTCCAAAATTAATGTGGAGGTACAAATCAAGAGGGATTAGAGATAGAGGCAGATCACTAAAGAAGTGGCAACAGCAGGAATACTGTTGAAGAGACCAAGAAAACTGTAATAAACCAATAGAAACAAGCTGTAAAAGGCTGGTCAGTTCATGATGATGACAATGATGAATAATAGTAAAAGCCAATCTGGGCAGCTGAGATCGCTAAGGCAGTGGTGCGCTAGTGGTCTCAGACTGAAGGATCGTGGGTTTGAGTCTCTCCTCACGCATGATTGTGTTTACATGTCTCTGTATAATTGTGATTGTCCATTTCATCTTTCATCATTATCATTTTACCTCATCCTCTAGGGCTAACAATCCTGGTTGCAAAAATGGATTCATCATGAAAATGCTGATCCTCCACATAAAAGTCACGTGCATATACCCTCAATAAATGTGAGTGTGCCTTGGTAGTTTGCATTTTTGCATGGTTTAAAGATGCTCCTCTCAAAGTAATGATAAAAGAAGTTAATTGTAATAAAATAAGACATTGTGTATGCACATGAAGTGTACTTCCATCCCTAAAGAAATAAAAAAAATACATTATCATTCTAACAAATGTGTTTAACTGAGTATTTGGTAAATTGTACGAGGGATGTTTCATGGAATTTAATTTGAATGTCTGGAAAAATGGTTTGAGTAAGAAGAGTTTCATAATTTGATAAAGAAAACTTGAAGAAAATTAAAAGGCAATAATTTATAAATTTCATTTACAAATTTCCAAGATAACTTTTGTACTAGATTTTATATATAAGATGCAATAAAAACAGAGAAACTTAGGGTATTTGATCTCAACTTTCGTAATCAACCAATATAACTACAATGAAGAGTAATACCTTATATTATTTTGTAGAGCTCTGATGTTTGCTCTGTCTTGAGTTTCCTTCGGTTCATTGAAAAATTCAATGGTTCTGGAAACAGGCTGATTGCTTAGGTGTGATTCTTTGGTTATCTCCAAACCCATGCTATCATCAGTGGTCTGTAACTTATCAGAAATAACTTATTAGTTAAATCTTGAAAATGTATACAACTTTATAAACATTGCATAATATATTTACAAATAAGCTGACCAAGTGTCCTGATCTGAATGGGAAAATACCAAATTCTAACAGGGGTGCCCAGAGAAAATAAATGCCCAGGGCAGTAAATCTACTCCAATAAAAAAAAGTTCTGTCCCAAACCCCAATACATATTCAGAATTTTTTCCATGCAAGAGAAATAACTTGTAGCGGTTAATTTGAATTAGAAGTAAATATTCCTTTTGATTAAAAAAAAATCAGCACCCTAATTAACTCAGGGCCTGGGGTAAATTGCCCAGTTCCCCCCTGTCACTTCTGGGCATCATTGGTTTCTGAACATTTATGATTTGCTGCAAATTTGTGTAAAAACTCGGAAGTTTGTTGTATTGTTTATGAACTATTAAATGTTTATTTCACTATTAGAATGCAGAAGAAGCAATTTTGCATGAGTATTAATTATCAAGAAGCAGAATTCAAATTTTAACTTGATCAATTTTTCACTGATAAAATGAAGTATGTTAATGCTTCAATAGCAAATGAAAGTAGAACGTCACATCGTCACAGTAAAAAACAAAGGTTTGCTACACCCTTTGTCAATTTTTTTTTTCTCACAGAAATTTGGTCAACCTGTATGTTAAGTAGAATAATTTGAAGAAGAAATTTGATATATTACATAGTTTATGTATTTGCGTTGACAAAATAAAGATAATAAAATTTCTTACTGAAATTTCATCCAGTGGAAGAACGTTCTGACTGTCTGATTGTGATACAAGTGCAGTACTGTTCAAGACATTCTGCATTGTAGCAACATTAGGCTGTAAAGTTTCATCAGGACTGGCAGTATTCAAATTGCAATAAACACTTGCGGACTGTAATGGAGGAAAAGTAAGTTATAAGGCATAATGGTCATGAACAAATGAGATAAAAATTAATTTTTATTACATTTGATCCACTACAATAATACATAATTGATTTCATTGCTCTTGACACCTTAATTTCTTTCTCAAGTGAAATAATAATGTTTACACTGGGGTGATAAAATTCAAAACTTTGAGCTTTCATCATATTCCTACTCACATTTTGTTACACATGGAACTTTTTTAATAGTGTATTAGTTTATATCACCTAGTTTACATGCTTTTAATAAGGCTTCTGATCATCTCTCCAGCAAGGAACGGAATGGACTCTACAGATTCTTGAACTCTCTATTTCATCAATTATAGCATGTCTAATACTGACATATTATTCTATGATATGTAATAATGCAGTAAGGAAAAATAATTAATTATGTTAATGCTGATTTGGGCTACATCAGAAGCAAAATGTTGCCAGTTCATTGCTTTAAATCAATAAACAAACAAATGCGAGAACTTCAAATAAGGGGTTCCATTTCCTTCCAAATCCATGTCCTTGCATGTTAAGCTACATTGCTTATAGAAGATTCATTTATAAAAATATTCTGTCTAATCTTCAGAAGCTACAGCTGTTTCCAAAAAACGTTTTTGAAAAAACCTGCTACAAGAAACTCCCGCTGGTTATTTTTTTAAAATTTTAAAATGAATGAAATTTTTCCACAATTAAAAATCCGTGTGTAGAAGAAAGTTATAATTAAAAAGTCTGGTTTCAGGCAAAGATATCAAGACTTCAAGGTTTTCAAGAATCATATGCCTGCCCTATTGTTTCATCACTAGAATATATTAATGATCTCTTTGATAATGTACGTAAGTGGAATATACAGATGAATACTTACAGGGTCAAATTGCTCATCAACTTTAAACAGCTTACGTAACTTAGCATCAGTTTCAACACATGTTGCCACTAAATCATGCCAAGAATTAATTAGTGCCACACAATTGGTACACACTTTTAGGGGTAATTTATCATCTTCTTTAACCTGTGCAAAATATAATGATTATTAGATTATTAACAAATACATGTATTGTTGATTTTCATTAAAAAAAATTCACGATAGCATTCTAACACAAAAATCACTGGTTTAAGTACACAACTTACAGATCAGTCAAACTTTCTCGTAAATCATTATGTCTTATACTTACATTATATATAATCCTATATTATATTTTCATTACTTGTTGAATCAAAAAATTTTTTACAACAAACAATAAAAATTATTCTTAAACCTGAATTGAGTTAACACAATCTCGGTAGTTGCAGGGTAAATTATGTCAGGACATCTAATTTAGTTTGAAGACAACAAAGGTTATATGATAGAGTCATTTGTGATGAGTGATAACTTAAAAAACAATGTTAACACATTTATCTGTGAAGTATAAAGGCCCTGAAGCTTAATAGAATAAATTATAGAATAAAATCTGAATAAATCATAATACAAAAATGAGTTAAAATTATTTTACACAAGGTTAATGACATAGATTGCAAGGACCTTGCTTGGGATTTTATCAGATTTTAAAAGGGGCATTTCTTAGAAATGACACTGTAAACAATAAACTAGTTAAAAGAAATTATAATTATCATAATAATTATGTTATTTTTGGTTTGTATAACTTATCTTTGTTTTCTTAATCTTTGTTTGAATTATGATGTGGCCAAAAGTGTGTGTGCATGCAATAAATAAATATGAACATGTAGCTTACTAAAATAAAATCTATTTAAATGATGATAAAATACTGATTTAAGTTATTTTACATGCTCAAAGTTCTATAGATCAAGCATGTAACTTCAGGCATAATTAGGGACTTTTTCATGATTTCCTCTGACTTGTGTGTTTGAAACAAAAATAGTACCATAAATATTCTTCATTTTACGTCGCTGTGGGCTGCCATACACTTCACAGAAAATGGTTGATACTATAAAAACACGAACATGTCCTTGTAAAACCAATACTTCTGCAGAGTTGCTTTCCACAAAAACATTTTATCTGAGGTAAGAGTTAAAGTTCTTAATTTAAACTAAGAATATTTATTTTTAGTTTAATTTTTAAAAAAATTTCTTCGAAATTGAAGAAGTTTTATGGCAGTTAAGTATTTTTACCGGATGATGAGAAACAAAACTTGACATAGCTATACTGTCTGATGTTATTTTTCTGTAAAAGAGGCAATCTTTGACTTCAGTAATTTAAAGCAAATAAAAACATGGGCAGTGAACTTAAGTACAGGTAATGAACTTAACTCAATTCAGCCAAAACTAAGACATAAGAACTTTTATTATGTGACCACAGATTTGTTTCTTGAATGCAACCCTGAGAAACATAATAGCTGGAGGCAGAACTTTCACATTTAACGAAGTAAAATTACATTATCAGGCAATTCATCACAAACCTAAACTTTTACAAGGCAAGAATGTATTATTTTCTTAGCAATACCAATAATGTCACAACATTCAGAATTAAAAACAACATAGAAATAAATTTTATTGTTTAGTATAGGATTCATATACATCCAGTAAAATATAGGAACAGACCACTTTTCTGAGTCCAGTCCTATTGTTTCAAAAAATGTCAGGATGCCCTGAAATGTCTCAGTTTTCCACAATTAGGTGTTAAAACAAAATACATATTAATTATCACTTTTTACTTAGTAAAAGCTGACAAAATTGATGCTTTTTTGCATTCAAATTAAAATAAGTTATTTGTTACAAAAAAATGAAATTAAAAAAATCGCTTAATTGCCACCTATTAGCAAAAGCAAAATTTAGAGTGGAAGTGAGTACTTTTTCTTTTATTTTAAAACAGACAAAAACTACCTGTTAGATGTCGAGGAAATGACCTTCACCTAGTATCATAATAAAAATATCGGCTGAAATGGAGAATACGGTACAACCTAAGGAAGTCGTTTAAAGCGGCACTTCGCGCTGTTTCGGCGTTACCTAAGCAGTTAGGATTCTGGAGGCTTTCTTGAAAAGTGCTTTCTTATAAAAGTGAATTGGTAATTATGCGTTGGTTAGACTCAAGGATGTTTATGGTGAATGCGAGGGATGAAGGCCCGAGCCTCGCCGTGACTTGGATTCAAGCAAAGCATGAAAACTTGCCTTTGAAAGTAAATTGGTGTTACAATGCGACGGGGACAAAGCATATAAAGGGCAAACCATGAAAATCTCCTATTCATAAGTTTTACTCATTTCTATTAGAGCATGTACAGTAATTAGGGCTTAAGCCCTGCCGCCACGGTTCTTTAAGGGTGTACCGTATACTAAACTCCAACCAAAATATTAAGATTAAGAAAGACATATTTTTTGTCAAGTGTCTTTACAATGATTTTGCAATACTTACAGGAAAAAAGAAGTATGTCCCATACTTTTAAACGAATGTATTTGAATCCCAGTTTAGTAGTCAACACAAGATACAAACCACTATAGGTAGATGCCATTGAATTTTATCAATAATTTGTAGCTGAATACTTTGTTCTGCGAATATTGATATCATTTCTATGTTTTCATTAGCACAAATTCTGCATATTTGATTAGCTAAATGAGTTAAAGAGCCCTCCTGCCATTCAGAACTGTCAACAGCATGAATACTATCAACAATTACTGTTTCTGGGTCAATAATTGAGTTATCTTCCACAGAGGGTTGTAGTTCATTTATAACTTGGTGATGAACATCAATTCTAAAAAATAAAGATCAATGCTGTTCATATATTGTCATACAATTAAAAGTATGAAATTACAATGAAATTAATTTGAGAAAAAAGTAATTCACCCTTCATTGTTTTCAGAAAGAACACCATCTGCAACATAATCTCTTTCATGAATTAACTGCAGTTCACGCTCAATATCTGCCCTGAAAAGAAAACAAAAAACAACAAACATTTCAATATAATAACTTCAAATACCAGACTTCCCTATGCAGATATTTCTTCCCTACATACAAAATTTCATATTATTATTTAATAGTATAATTATTTCATGAGATATTTTCAAATCAAAAGATATTAAATAAGAAATATTATGCCTGTATATTTACAATATAATGGTAGTAAATTTAATTATATTGATTAAAACATATATTACACACTAAACTTCACATTAACAAACTAAAAATCCACAATGTCTATAATCATTTCAAATGAACGACTTATAAGAGAAAAATTTCTTCATCTTTAAAGGTGAAAATCTTCACAAAACATGACCCTTTCACATTGCAGTAAAGCTTAAATTCATCATGCTATCCAGTCTATTATTTAACAATAATGTACCAATTATCACTAAAAAGAAAGGAAATCTTGAAAAAAGAAAAAAAAACTTAGAAAATGAAACTAAACATCTTTACCTGTCTATTGATTCTTCTTTAATATTTTCACCATCATATCCTATTACTTCAGTGTTCACTCCAGCATCCATTATGACACATGGTATGACAACAATATCAGGATTAACATGAGTTCTACAAACCAAAAATCATTAGAATTAAAAGCAGTAATGAACAGATTTGTGACTTACGCTCAACAACGATATTCTGTTATGCAAAACAATCTGAGTTATACATACGCTCCTGATTTTTCCTCATTGATCTCACCAGAAAACTCGCTAATATCATGATCAAAAACAGAAGGTTTAGCCTTAGGTTTCAGGGCAACTGGATCAGCTCTATCTAAACAGTGGTCTTCAAAGTGACGCTCACATAAAAATTCTGTTAAGTGTATTTCTTCAGCAGTTTTACTTAAAAGATCAAGTCTTCTCGAACGCAAAACCCACGAACGACATCTGAAATTCAAAACAACGTTTTGGTACAAAATCCACTTCTTGACTACGGGCATCATAACCTTCTGTGAACACAAAATGACACTTACGATTCTTCATCCTCCGGGAATGGAAAAAGAACTAAATTACAATTCTCATTTTCAAAGTAATGAGCTTTACACGATTTTGCTGCACAAATTAAGGCCATTCTCACGAACACATACAATCACGAAATAACTATACAATGTAGAGCGCATATCTAGCCTCCATGTTAGGTATATTGAGCACCGTTGAACACTCTCAGTTTTGTAATATCGTTTTTCATTTGTTGTCAACATGGCGATCCTTTTACTTTCCATATTCCTTGACATTGCTAAAACCATAAAACTCTATGCGGTAGGCAGTTCACAAACATTTTCAAACCGAAGTTTTAATATGACATATCCGGAATGTATGGTCATTAAAATATATTATGTATGGTCATTAAAATATATTATGTTTGCTTTGAAAATGTCTTCAAGTATGATGGAAACAATTAAGCACGATTTCGCAAAAAATAAGCGGATTAGAAAAAAATAACATGTTTCTTCTACTGCAATATTTAGGTTGTTAATTATTTTTGGTTTAAATTAGTTCTGGTTATAATTAAGTTCTATTAAAATCTGCGCATGGTTTGGAACTTCTTCGCTTTCCTTTTTATTTAACTAATTAATTAATTAATTAATTAATTAATTAATTAACTTATTTACGTCAAAACAGTTAAAAACTGTGTGACGTGCTATGGGAGGATGTTAATTTGAAGTTACATTAATGTACACAAGCAAAACAAGGGGCCATCTCAGCATTTTCTCTAGGATCAGGGAAACTGGACGAAAACCTGATCGATGGAGGTCGTTGACCCAGAAACTGAAGTACAATACTTGTTACAGGTTCTTTAGAATTATACAATGCAAATGCTATATTTTACATATCCGAGTGGTTTACATCTGGCTATGTTTCTCGGTTCCTCTTTTCCAGCCTTCTCTTTCCATTACATATTCATACTGTCAGATTTCTAGTTGCCATCGCGGTCAGTATTTCTTGTTTCTAAGGGGTTGATGGTCTGCCCCGTCGTCTTCTGTACGGAGTTATCCATTTATATGCTTGTTTGGGCCCCTCAATTCTGACATTCTCAGCAGATGTCCGTACCACTGAAGCTGTTTTCGTTCTACAGTATCTATTATATCCTTTTGAATTTCCACTTTCTCTTTTATTACTTCATTGCGAATGTGGTGTAAACGAGATATTCTGCAACTTCGTCTCAAAAAGTCCATTTGAATAGTCAATAAATTTTTTTGTTGGGGGGGGGGAGGTTAGTTCCCATACTTCCGAGTCATATGTGACAATACTTTCTATTAAGGTACTGTATACATTTTTCATTGTTATCTTAGATAACTGGGAGTTCCACAGAATTGGATTGAGCATATTAATTACTCATTTCCCTTGATTTATCTTATTATTTAAATCATTATTACTTTGCTCTCTTTTGAAACTGTGAAGTCTAAATATTTAAAATTATCACACAATTGTATTTTATAATTTTCAATGTGCAGATCATTTCCATATTCTCCTGTTACCATATACTTCGTTTTGGACACATTTATGTGCAATCCCCATATATCAAATTCCTGTTTAACTTTTCTAAACATATAACTAATATCCTGCTCATCCTCAGCCATCTCGATCATCTGCGAAAAGTAGAACATCCAGTGTAGATTCTTCAATTTGAATTCCCATCACACTGCATTTCCTCCTCCATTCTCTCAGAGCTTCGGCAATGAACATGTTAAAAAGAGTTGGCAACATACAACATCCCTGTCTCAATCCTTTAAAAATTATTATATCTGATACTTGTCCGTTTACTTTCACAACACCTTTACTGTCTTTATACATTTTCCTAATGGAAGCTTTTTCCTAATGGTATCTAATTGTATAGAAACAATTGTGCAGCAGAAAAGATTTTACTTGGGACTTAAACTTTTGTATCGAATTTAATCGTTTAATCTCATCTGGTAAGGTGTTGTAAAATGATGTACATGTATTGTGTATGCATTTTTTGTAGCGAACTGTTGATACTGTCACCTGATGGAAATGATTACTACGTCGAGTCTTGTAACAACGGCGTTTGCTGAAAATGTATTCCCGCTCGTAAGTTAGCCATTTTTGACAAAAACCACTGATTTATATTTGAAGAGACAAGGTAATGGTAAAATACCTAGATTAATAAAGAGAGGCTTACAAGAATCACGCGGGTGAGATATGCTTATTATTCGTATAATTCCTTTTTTGTAATCTAAAAGTCTGTGAGCTATAAGATGCATTTCCCCAGAATATTATGCCATATCTCAGGCGGGAATAAACATTCGCGAAATATGCACAAGAGCAGTGTAGAGGGTGACTGAATTTGAAAGAATTCTGAAAGCGTGGCATAAATAACTTAATTTAGTGTTCAATCCATTTAAATGGACTTTCCATTTAAGGTTTGACTGAATTGAAAGACCTAAACATTTTGTTACCTTAACATCAATCAATAGCACACCGTTCATTTTCAGTGAAGTGCAAAGCTGTTTATTTGAAATGGAAAATTGCATTGAAACAGTTTTCTTTTCATTTACTATTAATTTATTATTACGGAACCTTAATATTACAGACAGATTTATGACTGTCAGTTTGATTGACTGATGTTTCCAGGCATTTAAAATGCTATGGTCATTAGTCCTTTTAGTGTAGTGAGTGTTTTCATCCCGGAAGGTAGCGGTGTTCCTTCCTCATTGGATGGTGAAATGCTCCGAATGATAACTTGTTTGATTGACTGATAAATTCGTTTTTCAGGGCGCGTCATCGGCTAAGGTCATTAGTCCCATAAGTGTAGTGCATGCTTTTCGGGAGGCGGAGGCGGTGGTGGTGATCTTGCCCGCTAGATAGTGTGATCTTGCGCCGACCTACACTTCGACTAGTGGGATTTCCCCTCACCAGGACTCTCCCATCAGCAGGGTACGCTCCATCCGAGGCAAGCTTGTAGCTCCCGGCTGATCTCCTGGCATGTGTGGTAGTGTAGTGATGGAAATGTGATCGTAAGTAAAGGCTGAGGTTAGAACAAGAAAGAGGAAGGAAAAATCTCGTGCGGTTCGAGGCCCGTTTTTAGGGTAGTGTTCCGGCATTCGCCGGGTGTTGATAAAAAAAAAATCACAGAAAATTCCGATCACAGCAGCCGGTCGCTAGAATTCACCTCTAGACATTGGCTGGATTCGATCTAGCTATCTAACAAGTATCGAAAATCCTGTCACCTTTGGAACTCAAACTTCAGGTCCTCCCGGTCAGAGGCACTGCTCAAAAACAAGATACCGACTGTTCTCCTGACATGTATGTAGTGTAGTGCATATAAATGTAAGTATATGGGAATAAGAGCAGATGTCGGACTAAGAAAGAGGAAGGAAAGATCGCGCACGGTCCGTGGCATGAGTACTGCTGTGGCATTCGCCTGGAATGATCGAATAAACCACAAAAAACTACCGACGAGAGCAGCCAGACGCTACAATTCTCCTCCAAACTGTGGCTGAATTCTCCCTAGCTATGTAGGTAGATTCAAAAATCCGCCATCCGGACTTCCGGTCAGCGCCGCTGCAGAGTCAGCGACAATACTGACTCTAAGCTCAAGTCAACTTAGCTGACAACTCAGCCGGACTACCCTTTTGAAAAAAATATACTAGTATATTTGTGTATAAAAAAGATACAATTACATATTTAATACTAGTGGATCCGCAATGCTTCAATATTGCAATATATTACATTTCACACGCTACAGGTAACGCGATTGTTAATCAAGTTTTTCGCTACACTCAGCAAACATTTTAATAGATGAAAGACTTTCTTGCGAGTATGGGTTTGTTCTATGCCCTCATTGAACATGGTTGTCAAGTATCCTATTGTTAAAACGCTCTCCCTCAAGTTTGGGCATGGATTCGTTATGACAGTCTTGGAGAAATTTGATTTGCTTCTCCGAGATAACGTTCAAACAATAATTTCGGCCGATATTTCACAATCGTAGAACAGTTCATGCAGTGAAGACACGCTTAATACTTGAGGGTGCGGCCGGTTGCTTAGAGCTTCTGTTCAGAGGCGCTTGAGTCGGCATAATCTCATAAAATCAACAACGCCCCCATTTTGCGTCTGTATGCGACAGACATACGCACATTCCCATTGTACTATGCCTATATTCGTTGTGCAAGTGCAAGAAAAAAGTGTTTACAGTCATATCGCAATGGAATGAACGGAACCGTAGCGCATAAAATACCAACAAACATACATATATTTTTATAGTATAGATTATTTTCTGTACTAAGGTGTTCTGTAACTCAAGCTTATTTTGGAACTTTTCGCATGTAGAAAATTTTTCATCCGTATTAGATATCAACAGTGTTTCAATCTTAAATTTTTCGCACTGAAATAACATTGTCGCAGTATGCACTGTAATCAATTGTCTTTAGTTAAAAAGACAAAACGTCGGGCACTTTATTCACCGATAATTTCAATTTCATATGAAATATTTACTTACCTTTTTCTTCAATCAATCGAAGGAAATGTATCGTTTAGAATTATTGCGCATCGCTTTCAGTGCCTTCTGTAGGCAAAAATTACTTAGCCTGAAGTATTTATCGATCAGTTAACCATTGATTAATTTTTGTAATTAAAAATTTAACAAAATATTGTTTCATAATTAAGAGTTTAAAATTTCATTTAAATTCTATTGCAGATACAGTACTTGCATTTGTTTGCGCTGTATTAATTTAAAAATTAATCGCTTAATTTACTCCAGGCATGAAGTAGTACATAAATATAGCGTTCCCGAGCGAGAACTCTCGCGTGTTAAACCCCGCTCTCTTCCCAATCCTTATATTTCAGAATTAATAGGGAAAGTTATTAACAATACGTGTTTATTTGTTTACACTTTTTAAAAAAGTAACTTCCAATGTACTTACAGAATATCAAATAAAAATAAACTGCTAGTGGTGCTACAGAATGGCACAGCCTTTCTCCTAGTAAAAGTTTCTAGTATCCTTGGTGTGAGCCAGCTTGGCTGCTGCCATCTATCTCCGACCTAAATACAGTTTTTGAAATTTTCGCAATTTTTCGCTTTTTATTCGTAGGATTCAAAATATTATTTTTAAAATATTAAAGAAGAGTAAAACTTCGTCCTGTATGGAAATTCCGTTGAAAAAATTGGAGTCTTTTTTAAGAAAGAAAACGTTTAAGCTACAGTGTAAATTCGAAATTTGATGTTCTTTTTCACAGGAATCTTTTGAGTTCTTGAAAAACTTCATTTGAAGCCATTT